AAAAAAAAAAAAAAACAGAAATTTATTTTCTGATGGTTCTGGAGGCTGGAAGTCTGACATGAGGATGCCAGGATGGTTGTATCTGGTGAGGTCCCTCTTCCTGGCTTACAGGTGATGCCCTCCTGCTGTGTCCTCACATGATGGAGGGAGTGCCAGCTCTTCACAGTTTCTTCTTATAAGAGTACTCATCTCATCATGAGAACCCCCCTCATCACCTCATCCAAACCTGATTTCCTCCCAAAGGCTCTATCTTCAAATACCACAAATTGGAGCTTAGGGCTTCCACATAGGAGCTTGGGGAGGACGCAATTCATTCTATAACAATAACTCCACTTTGATGGGAGTGCTGATGGTAGGTACCATCTAGTTGATCTGCTCCTTTGTTTTAAAAAAAAGTCTCTATTGGGAACATAACTATTATTTCTATGATGCTGTAATTGTATTACTGTGGGGTTTTAATCTTCACATGAGATTCTTCCCAATATGACAGGAAAAACTGTTCATATGGCCAGGCAGTGGCTCACACCTGTAATCCCAGCACTTTGGGAGGCTGAGGTGGGAGGATTGCTTGAGGACAGGAGTTCAAGACCAGCCTGGGCAACAGAGTGAGACCCTGTCTCTATAAAAAATAAAAAATATAACTTGGCTTGGTGGCACGTGCCTGTGGTCCCAGCTACTCAGGAGGTTGAGGCAGGAGGATCGCTTGAGCCCAGGAAGTTGAGGCTGCAGTGAGCCACAGTCTTATCACTGTACTCCAACCTGGGTGACAGAGAGACCCTGTCTCAAAAGAAAAAAAAAAAAGTTTATACAGTGATACAATGGAAGAATAAACAAAGTAAACTATTATTTAACTGCTACTCCCTTTGCCAAGTTTTATATTTTTGTGACACCTGAGAAATTTCCTAACTCTCTCGTTTACTATTTGGGTATCAACATGTGCTCTATTATCTAATAGTATGATTAGAAACAGAAATGAAACATCTGTGAGGAAGTTACTGAATATGATGACTTCCTATGTCAAGTAAAAATGTGTTGATGATACAGTCTTCAGTTTCTTTCTAGTTGTAAATACATCTCACAGTTTTCAATGTAACCCTAAGAAGCAGAATTATTACTAAGGTTAAACTTTGCTTTGCTTTTTATAACAAAGGGCAAGAGACAAAAGGGCTTAAAGATGTGATATGGTGGGGATAGTTGTCCCTTCCAAGTCTCAAGTTGAAAATTTGAAATTTGGAAGGGACAAGTATCCCTTGAAATTTGAAATCCCCGATGTTGGAGGTGGGGCCTGGCAGGAGGTTTTGAGTGATGCAGGTGAAACCATCATGAATGGCTTGGTGCCTGCCTCGAAGGAATGAGTGAGTTCTTGCTCTGAGTTTGGGTGAGATCTGCACCTCTCCCTCACTCTCTCTTGCACCCTCTCTTGCCATGTGATATGCCGGGTCCCGCTTTGCCTTCCACTATGACTGAAAGCTTCCTGAGGCCTCACCAGAAGGTGAGCAGATGCTGGCACCATGCTTACTGTACAATCTGCAGAACTGTGAGCCAGTGAAATGTCTTTTCTTTATAAATTACCAAGTCTCAGGTATTCCTTTATAGCAATGCAAAAACGGACTAATACAAGATGGTTATTTAATTATTTGAGAGGAAAGAAGACATGCAAGAACTTACAGACGTAAATTAAGAGAAAACAGAAGAGTTTGACTAGGTTTAGTCTCAAAATCAGAATGATGAAATACATGAATAAAGAATTAAGTGAGGATAAGTGAAAAGTCAGATCTTGCTCTATGTGCATGCCAGTGAACAAAAGAGACCATTTTTAGTGAAAGATGTCTAAATGTCTCCAAAAGGTTAGGTTTTACCTTATATTTAATTTGACCCAAATGGTTTACTTACAGTTACAGCCATCAGAAAACTTTAGAAAAACCAAAAGGCCTGTGGTATTTCAAGATTAATAGAATTAGATGCTGTTACCTAGTAATCAACAAATGCTTACTGAACACCTCCCGTGAGCAGGCCACTTTTCTAGGTGCTGGGTATATAGCGTCAATACAATGAAATTCCCTCACTAGACTGTATGTTATAGTAGGGGAAGACCAAGATATATACACATGCAAACTTATAAACAAACAAGATAAATTGATATATGAAAGGGTTGAGGACATATTTTTTACTGGGCCTGCAGAGAAAGAAGCATGAGAAAAGAGCAGTATGGCTTGAAATGGGATGAGAGAGGCATTGCAGACTTTGTAAGAGCATAAGGCTATTTTATTATTATTTATTATTTTTTTTAACTTTTATTTTTTGAGATGGAGTCTCGCTCTGTCACCCAGGCCAGAGTACAGTGGCTCAATCTCAGCTCACTACAAGCTCAGCCTCCCAGGTTCATGCCATTCTCTCGCCTCAGCCTCCCGAGTAGCTGGGACTACAGGCACCCGCCGCCACACCCAGCTACTTTTTTGTATTTTTAGTAGAGACGGGGTTTCACCATGTTAGCCAGGATGGTCTCGATCCCCTGACTTTGTGATCCGCCTGCCTTGGCCTCCCAAAGTGCTGGGATTACAAGTGTGAGCCACCACTCCTGGCCCATTATTTATTATTATTATTATT